GATGTGTAAATATTTCACAGTGGATGGCTAGTCAGAGATTAGGATAGGCCAATTGAAAGGCTCTTGGCTAAAGTGGTTAATAAGGTGAAGTGGTATTTGCCTCCGTGTCAACTGATTTGGGTATAAAATGCCGAGGCTGGGGATGGAGCTTGGCTGGTAGACGATAGCTCTGTTCCTCAGCACCATATACATTGTGTGTGGTGGCACACATCTGTAATCCCAGCACTCAGAACAAAAGGTGGATGCAGGGTCTTCAACCTGGGCTACATGAAAATCTGTTCAGACAGCAGTAACACCCTCTCCTCTCCCCTGTTAATGTGAGCAGAATATCTGAATGCATGGTTGTTGGTGCCAGGTGGAAGCCTGGAGGTTAATGCTACTAAGGCCAAGAAACTTTCTGTCTGAGATGGATTGGTAAGGTAACTTAATCTTGTCCCCCGATGGAACTGAGCCGAGAAATGGAAGCGTAGGAAAGACTGCAGGTCTGCACAGCTGCAATGCTGACACGGGGATGCAAGGTGGGAGACAAGCTGGGGATCTGTAGGGGAAACTCGGGACCTCCAGGAACAGTTGCAGTCAGTGGTCCTTGAACTGGGCATAAATAAGCCGTAATGGCGCCAAGGGAAACGTGCTGAAGGTAGCTCACACATTATATGTCACAGTGGTTGCTGGTAACCGTGAAACAAGAGCAAGCGCTCTCACCACATAACTCCACATAGACAGACGGCAAGCGACGCTTGGAGAGAGCAGGTGTGAAGAAATGCATCTGTCCCCGAGAACCAAAGTTTTGGGGATTTCCCTGAAAAGACCCATGGAATTTAATTGCAATTGGGTTTGTGTCTGAGTGTTCAGAGATCTGATCTGTGGCTACCCTCACTGTGTGTGATGCCAAGGTAGGGTCTGTGAGAAGTTAAGCATCTTTGAAACTCTTCTACACTGGGGAAAGTGAGATGGGTCTCATGGGTTTTTGTGTACTAATGTCTGCTAGCTCCTAGCAGGGAGTGATAAGAAAGTCTGTCAGTTTGCTACTTAAAAATTAGCATCTCTGGATCTGTAAAATTACTTATAAATGTAAAAGGATAAAACAGGTTATTGAGTTGGACAGTGGGATGCATATTTAGTATTGGAACAACAGAAAAGTACGGGCTTTTGCCAACCTGTTTATTTGTGTGTTACTGCTACCTCACAGGCTTACCTTGTAAGGCTGCTGCTAGGTTAAGGTTGAGACATTATTTATTTGTAAGTGAAATTTGATGAGCTCCTGGCTTTTTTTTTTTTTTTCCCTCGAGACAGGGTTTCTCTATGTAGCTTGGAGCCTGAGCTCTTGGCTTTTTAAAAAGAAATAGTACTATTGTGCTATTGTTATGAGAAGAAATCTCGCTTGTGGCTTTAAGCACTGGAAGCTTGTGCGCCGAGGCTAGGTAAAGGCATTCTCTAACAGTTTCAGTGGTGTGCCTGCTTCGTGCGTGTGCCTGTTCTATGGTCCTCCAGTAGAGCCCACTCTTTGTGCGTGAGGGTTTTCTGTCAGCATGTTCTAGATCCAGGTAAAGTCCTGAGATTAAAAGACCAAATCCATTTTACGTATGTTCCGGGGTTGAGTTTATGAATTAAGTTGGTATTGGTGAGACATTCTAGGTGATTATATAAAAATCTATTTGTATATGAAGTTTTTCATGTGGGTAGGATTTTGATCGATGCTATTTCATTCATTTAAAAAAATACATTGTGTGCGCACATACATGTCATGCATTCTTGTGGAGGCCAGAGGATTAACTTGAAGGAGTTTGCTTTCTCCTTCCATCATGTGGGGTTTGGGGGTCTAGCTCAAGTCCTCAGGCTTGGCAGCAAGTTGCTTACCCACTGAGTCATTTCACGGCCCCAGTAAATGCTACCTTTTCATTAACATTTAATATGTTGACACTCTAATGCTTGCCTTTTTAGGCATTTATAAGAATTTTGAGCCTGAAAAGCCCCAGAGGTGACTAATAGTCCTTGCCCACATAGGTGAGAGCCCTGTACAGATGGAAGGGCTGGGTGTGCAGTGAGGGCTATTTCCACACGTTCGTGTACACACACATCAGGTGAGCCGAGGACATTTATTATGGGTCCCCCCCTTTTTATTTTCTTTGTGTCAGGGTCTTGTTATATACCCAGCTGTCCTGGAACTTAATCTGTAGCTCAGGCTGGCTTCTCTGAGTGTTGAGATTATAGCCCTGCCTCACCCAGTTTTTAACTATGGGCTAAAGAAACATTAACTATTTGATTTGTTGTGAGACAGTGTTGCTTCTGCACCTGGCTGGTCTCAAACTGCTTTTGATCCTCTTGTTCCTGCCTCCTGGGTGCTGGAATTGCAAGCATGTGCAACCATACTGGGCTGTGCAGAGTTGTCCTTTTTTTGTACAGGTTACATGTGTGGATAAAAACGTGACACCAAGTATGTGAAACTCAGAACAGCTTTGGAGTTGGTGTTCTTCAGTTGTTTTTTATGTGGGCTCTAGGGATTAAACTCATGGCATCAGGCTTTTGTAGGGAGCCACGTTACCTACCCTTTGAGCTTACTGGCCATCTTTGTATTTTGAGATAAGGTCTCAGCATCTCTGGCTGTCTTTGTCTCCTGAGTGTTGGTGAGGTGTGCACCACCAGGCCTGGCTTCACTGGCTCTCTTGAACTGAGTTTTCAGATGAAAGGGTTTAACTGATGCAGGATCTGTTTTCTCTATCTTGTTGGTAGTCTGTAATTTACTCTTGAGTTTGAGTTAGTTGTTAAGTTGTTTTCTAACTCCTTGCCATCCCCAAAGCTTAGTTTAGTTCCGTAAGGGTCTACTTGAAGCACTGTTGGAAGTCCCTGGAGCATTTAATTTTCAGTTTTAGTTACTGCCCAATTCTGAAGTTTTGACCCTTGCCCCTGGTACGTATATTTTTGAGCTAATAAAAAAAAAAAAGACAACGGTAATGAGAGAAGAGTTAGTTTTGTGGACAGATGTGTCTTTGTGTGTCACTGCTGTGGCTGTGGTATGGGGGAAATTAAGTTAGCCCTTTGCCACACTTTGGCTCTAGTCTGGGAAGTTTTGTGTGTTCTTAGTGAATGTGGGCCTGGGACGGCCAGAGTTGAGCCTCTGCTGCAGGCCTGTTGAACAGTCCCCTGTCTATTTTGTCTTTTCTTTTTTTAAAAAATTTTATTTATTAGGTATACAGTGTTCTATCCGCATGTTTTGCCTGTACACCAGAAGAGGGCACCAGATCTCATAATGGATGGTTGAGAGCTGTCATGGGGTTGCTGGGAATTGAACTCAGGACCTTCGGAAGAGCAGCCAGTGCTCTTAACCTCTGAACCATCTCTCCAGCCCCTTGTCTTCGTTTTCTAGTTAGCTTCCTCTCATAGCTTCTGAATTCCATTGTGCATTACTCTTGTATTTAATCTTGTTTTGAAACAGAAATGTCTTCTTTCATAGAGCAAACTGGAATTTAGGGAAAAAACT